CATAAATGTTTTATTTACTTATTGATAATGTATTTGTTGTGTCTCTTATATCGCATATATATATATATATATGTATCCGATACATATCACTTTTTTAATAAAATAAAAATATATTCATTTTGAATATCTTTGATAAATACATTAACAAAAATTATAAGCCATTGTAGTATTTGCCATATTAATATATTGATTAAGTATATGTTAACACATATATGTATTATGATATAAACATATTGATCATTTAATGATAGTAAATTTAAAAAGAAAAGAAAAAAAGATCTTCAAGAATTTCATATCAAGAGATATTTTAAATTTTGTCTAAGACTGATTTTTTCACTGAATTTTAATTTTATTTTATCTCATCATTTTAAAATATACATAATAGTATTCATTCGCTATTTTTAATTTAAAAAAGAAAAAAAATTGTTTTACTTTAATTCGCTTTTATATATTTTTGTTAAAACATTGAAAAATTTAAAAAGTTTTATTAATTTACAAATTTTATAAATGAACAAGCACAAATCATTGATGTTAAATTGAATTATTTGACAAAACATAAAAGAAAATAATAAAATACTAATAAAAATAAAATTGGTATATTATTAAGTAAGATCATGTTCTTTTTGAGGGATAATCATACAACATTCCCGAATAGTTTAAGAACGTTAAGTTATATCTATATGAATATGATCAAACGTATAGTAAATTAAAATCATAAAGTTTAATTAGACACATTTTAATATGTATGTGCACAAATTAAAATTGATGTTTATTGTTTCCGTCCTAAAAGTAAAGATTATCGATTAAAATATAAGATCATAATTATACATATGAAATAACTTATGATAACAGTTTATACATAAAGACGATATTTATATTGAATTTCATAAAATTCATTTTTAAACAGAATTGTTTAATTTTTATAAAATAGAATATACATACATACATATATATACATATATAAAAAGTAATCATTTTTACACATTGTTATAAAAATTGTTATTTGTGTCTATGCGTGCGTGCAACTTTCGTATGTACGTATAGTTTTTTTATAATCGATAAAAATACATTTGCATTAAATGCAGTGGATTATCGATTACAAAAAGACTATATGATGAGCATTGCAACTTAGTCAAGCTACACATATGTTACCATCAGGCATGGATAGAAGAAAGATGTATATTTTTTCTTTTTTTATTATATACATATACATTTCTTTTAATTTTATGTTTTTTTTTTACATATTTCTAAAAAAATATAAAAGTAAGCATATATATAGTTTGTTCTATTGCATAATTCATTGTATCTTTACATACATACGATGCTCACAGTTGGGTAGTCGATCTTTATAATTAATTATGGTGGCACGACGTAACACGAATGTCTTTTTTTTTCTTTTCGAAAATAAATCACTTTTATTCGTTTAAATATTGCAAAAATATTTATATATGATAAAAATTTATCGCAGAGGTCCAAGTACTTAAAATTAATAACGTATATATATTTGGATATATATTTTCTATTACGCCATACACATAGGACACAGCACAAGAAATAAAGATTTTGTGTTACGTAAGAGTTGAAAGATTACTTCCTAATTCGAAATATTATACACATTTATAACAGTTTACGTGCGCGTGTGTTTTATATTTGGAAAAATATACACGTGTGTGTTTCTTCTTCTATGCTATTGTATTCCTATATAGAAAACAAAATATATTATTATATTGAATGTTTAAATAAGCTAAATTTCATTTTTAACACAGCCTATAATATACACATATATATATCTCTTTTTCAAACGACTAATAATTATCTGTGCATATTTATTTATATTTGCTTTTGCTTGTGCGATTAATATTTCAAAAAATAAACGGAAAGGGAAAAAGAAAAAGAAAAAGGAACGAAACAATCCTATACTGTAATTAACATATAACTAATTAATTATCTCCCCTGCATGCAGCCGGACAAAAGGTGTTGGAACTTCCCGTTATATCTCGTCATTGAATAGAAACTCAATAAAAACTATAAAATGTATGATACTACGTAAGTATTGTATATATTATGTGCTGATCACGTCTATATATGTTGCATGACAAATTGTTAATCATATTAAACAATTTTTTCCTAATGTTTTATACATCTTACAATTTTATGAATTTTTCAATTTTCTTACTTTTAATTTTAAAGATAAATAAAACAAATCTTAAAAAATTCTTTAATAATTCAATTGACATTAATTATGTCGATAAACGGCTTATTAATTTTTTATCTGTTTGGTCATTTACTATGATTTTAATTTACTTACTCGTTTAGTATGTATTAAACTAATAAAAACTATGCATGACTTTTTCAGGATATCCACCTGGTTTTACATGGTGTGCTTATTTCAATGATCCTATGATTCGATTTGATGCGATACCAGCTTACTGATTTCTTTATCACTTTTTATGCTAATTATTTATATATATATATATATATATATATATATATACATTCCAATTGACATATTCAAATAAGGTATAAGCACTAAAAAGAATTCACATAGTATTAAATAAGAACACGATTTGGAGATATTTAAAAACTAAATATTATATAAAAAGATTTAATATATATAGGAAGAAGATAAAGAATATTATGCACTATTCACATAAATCTTCATATTTTAATATAGAAAGTGTGATAAAACTATTAGTAGTTTATAACGTTATATACAATGATGATATGCATTTAAATATTGCACTTGATAAGAAAAAATCATAAAAGATAGATCTATGAAATACGATGAATATAATAATTTTAGAAACAATTCTAAAGACCTATAAATACTTATACGGTAATATAAGTTTAATTTATTGCAAAATTAATATAACTTAATATAAATAAAACGGAAAAAAAAACAAGACCATGAAAATTCTAAAGTTAATAAGATTTTATCTGATATAATTGACAGCCATATAAAAATCTATACAATATGATAAGAAATAATATAAATGAAATTTGTAGGGTTAACGACTATTCGAGACAAATATTAATAATATTTTAAATCTTAACGAGATACTACTTATCAATGTTTTTCATAAATATTAAAATGAACAAATTGTGCCTTATTTAAAATAATCGCACAACAATATTTACCGGTGATATTATATCTAAATATGAAAATACACACACATATGTATACAATGATAAAATAATTATAATATTTTACACAATTTATAATAATCAGTAGAAGTTTTCTTTACAATTTCATAGTTATAATGTTTACAATTCTATGCTGCTATGTTGTAAAAATGATTTACATTTCCGTATACAATAAATTACGGCTTACATAATATGACGCTTAGATGAAAATAATTTTTAATTAAATAATAAAAAATAACGTTATATGATAGACATGATGGAACATATCTTTAATTTATAAATGAATGTAATTAATCGACAATATATATATATGTCACGTTATAAGAGCAGCTTGCGCTTGTTTTCTGATACTATCCGCAAGTGCTCTTATCTCTTCGTTATCTTTTTGCAATTGTTCCTGTTCTTTCTTTAAAATAACTTCCAATTGTTTCAATTGCTCTTTAACGTTTAAATAAATTTTTACTTTTTTGTAAATATCCTCAGAATTATTGTGATCGGTCGAAATATACAAATTTTCTGTTTGAATGTTATCTGAAATTATTTTTATCCTCAACATTTATTAAGATCATAATAAGAAACATATTTTATACAATTATTCACATAATGTTACTATAATATTGTTAATCTTTTATTCAATAATATACCTTCATTCATAACTTTAAATGCAACATCATCAGCTGATGCATTGGAAAGATCTTCTAATATATGTTCAGGATTCGGAAAATTAGGTCTAGGTGGTAAACTTTGTTTCTTATTTCCAAACATATTGATTTAACATTAATTATCACGTTAATCAATTAAATTTGAAAGAAAATATTGACAAAAACGATACACTGTAATGAATATAAAAATTCTAACCTAATCTTTCATGACATATGTCAAACAACGTGTTAATTCTCTTAACTACCGTTACATGCGTTAGTTGCAACATTTTCTTCTTTATCATTTGAGTAAACAAACATCTTTGAATTTTGAGAAATCATTTAAAAATAAACAAAAGTTACAAAAAAAAAAATGTCGAGCAATACGAATGATTATCCATCGTGTATTAAAATAGTAAGTAATTATAGCACTATTTAAATAAATGTACTTTGAATAAAACAATATATTACATTTAATGTAATGTATGTTAAATTTTAATATATTTTCTTAGCCAAATGGAAAACAAGATCATAAAAATGCACAACATCAAATAAAAGAAAATCTACCATTAGTTATACAATTACAGAAGATAAAATTTGTGAACGATGCATTGTTATTAGCAGCAAATGAAATATTTGGAGAAGAAAAATGGAGTTATTCAGTTAGTAATCAAACATTAGGTATATCTATACAATATTATATTTTTTAATAAAATATATATGAAGGAACAAAAAGATAGATTAATTTAATTCTATATCTCATTTTCAGATTTTGTTGATTCTGCCTGGGGTGTTTATATTGTTGGATGTCATACATTAATTAAAATAGAATTAAGTTCTGGAATCTATCATGAAGACATGGGATATAGTATTAAGGAAGGATCAGTCAAAGGTGAAGCTATACATTGTGCTAGAGTTGTAAGTAAAAATATATGTAAATGTATATATAAGTATATAAATTACCATTCATATTACACTCAACTCTTTTTTAAAAATTGCATAAAAAAAAGAGTTGAATGTATTTATATTATATTTTCTTTTTAGGCTTCTTACAATGACGCATTAGTTAAAGTTTTATGCAGTTTTGGTGGTAACATAAGGGTAACAGCTAAACAACTTTCCAAAGAACTTTCTAATTCTCTTATTCCTCTTAAAAACAAGTCGTCTTCTGTAGTTAATCATGATATTAAAGAAACAAAAGAAGAAAAAGGTAATCAATCTTTTTATCTTTTCTCTTTGAAAGACTTCTATTTGTATACAAAAAATATATATATATATTATCTTTGATCTAATCAATTTAGAAGTAGTATCTGAAAATAGAAATAACCCATCGAATCAAGTAGCAGAAGTTTCTAAATTCAACGGAAATCAAGTATCTTTAAATGATGGAATTTGTATTAAAGATATATCAAATTCAAAATCAAATATTCTTCTAGATCAAGTGGATAATAACAATAAAAAATGTAAGAATAAAAAGATTAAATATATGTGCTATTACTTTTCTCGTATGACATTAATAATGTAATATTTTATTTGTTTGTTTAATAATATAATAATTTTTAATTATTGTAGTATCAAAAGAAGAATTAATGCGTCAAGAGAGAAAGAGAAAACAAATGGAGAAACAAATGGAATATAAAAAACTTATGAAAGAAAAGGGATTAATGATAAGTAATAACGAACAAAAAGGATAACATTAAATAGTTATGAAAGTTATTAAAATAAAGTTAAAATATATAAGTTATTAAAATAAACTTAATGAAAAAATGAAATCTTATACAATTTAAATATCATAATTTATAAATAAATTTCATTATTTCACAATTTCATGCCTATATCAATTGTAACAGTCATTTGTTTGGTGATTTTTGAGATTATGAACAAATATTCATAATAATAATAATATTAACAATAATATTATTAAAAAAGAAAATAAATGCATTATTAAAAAGACCATATTTTTAAAAATAGATTTCTATTCATATTCTGCTATAAGTACCATCATATATACTCCTGCAAGAAGTGCAATAATTTCTTTAACCGATTGCCAAAACTTAGTGTCAGTTAATAATTCTGGTATCACAGAGACAGTAGCAATATAGATAAATCCTCCAGCAGTGAATGGAAGAATCCACATTGTCGCAAAATCTCCTAAAATATAAATATTAATGTCTTTAATATTAAACACCTGTCAATTATTTTATTTGAAAATAACGATTTGATTAATTTACCCATTCCTTCTGCTAATAAGGACACATAAGTGCCTAACAAAGCACCTATTGCAGTAGTCAACTGCAGCAACATAGCCTACGATCAAAATTACGATAAACATACAAGATACAATAAATGGAATAATCATGTATTCAGTTTATTACCTTTTTCTTACTACAACCACTTTGAACCAAAATGGCAAAGTCACCTATTTCATGAGGTACTTCGTGTAATAAAATAGTAAATGTTGTTACGTAGCCAATACTGTTTCCAGCTAAATAGCTGGCTCCTATAGCTAAGCCGTCTGTAAAATTATGCAAAAAGTCTGCAACTAAATTGAGGTAGCCTGCAATTTTTATATCATTCTTGGTTTCGGAATTTTTTTTAACAGATGAAGAAACACCTTTCTTCTTGTCGGATTCTTTCTTAGTTTCGTTGGTAGTATGAGAATGTCCGTGATCACCTTTTATCATACGTACAGCTTTTTCGACAATTAAAAATACAGTAATGCCTAATAGAACGCACAAACCAACTGACATATCATGTTTGTGCTCAGATTCTTCATGTTGGTGGCTATCCGAATGGGAATGTGAAGATTCATGTGAATGAGGAACTAATGCATGAGGAATAAGATGTAGAAAAGCATCACCGAGGAGGCCACCCGATGCAAAGCTCAAAAGTATTTTCAATAATGGTTCGCATTCCTTAGTATTGTCTAATGGTACAAAAAATAATATAAAAAAAGGTGCTATAGAAATGAGCAAGGTAGAACCCATAGCTCTAAACGTTATCTCATTATGTTCATTAGTAGGAAGATTAGTTGATTCATGATGGTGATGATGATGATCATCATCGTGCTTGTGGTGTTCATCATGCGTGGTATGCGCATGAACTTTTTTAAATTGATGTGATTGCACTGGATCATGTTTCAGTTCAGAGTGCTGATTTAGCAAATATTCTTTATTGGCTTCTTTAGAATATTTGAAACTCGGTGATTCATCGTGTCCATGTGATTGGCATATAGTCGGTAGATTTAAAAACACAAGTAATAGGAACACAACAGTTACCACTTTGTAAATCCACTTTTTTATTTTCAATAATTGTTGCTGCTTTTCAATCTGTGTCGCCATTATTGTTATGCCAACTCAGCTCAAATTCTACAAAATATAATTTAGAAGATAATCCGGTTTTCTATATACCAACATTCGTACTCGTAGATATGAACGTCATCAACAAATTAACATTTATTAATTTTCGTTAATAAATATTAGAATTATTTTATTTTTTAACGTGGCGCCATTGAATAGAAATGAACGTATGATAACTCAATAGCGACTACCACCTAGCGAAACGAACTCTTGAAAACGAAGTTAAAAAGGCAATAGATGAAGTCAAATAATTTTGACACGATTTATTTCACCCTAAATCTTTATCATTTCTTTTTTTTAAACCGTTATATTATTTTCATGTTACAATTAACGATTATTTATTTATCTTTGTGCAATCTCTCGTCCTAGAAACCAAAGTTCATTTAAAGATTAAATATTAAACTTCATTCACACATATATTCTATTTCGAACTTACTCGATCGATAACTTATTATAAATATATTATATAAATGCATATATATATATATATATACATATTTGGGAATGATTTTTTTATAATAAATAAAATTATCTTTTTGATCGAATATCATCAAAATTTTTAAGTAATAACTTTATGTTTCAAAAATGCATAATCAAAATAAACATTCGAAAAACATTTGAACGAAGAATGAGAGTTCCAATTTCAAAAAGTTTAAGTTTCAAAAAAAAGAAAGTTATTTAAATATTAAATAAATAAATAAATATGAAAAACTTTTATTATAATTGAAAGCGATCTTCTTCTTCTGCGATTGGCTGCATATGTTACTTGTTTAAAGTACAAATGTAAATATATATTTATATATGACTCTATCGATAAAGTAAAAATCTTCTTTGATTTAGGTAAAACTTCAAAAGTGTGAAACTATCTGAAAATAATAGATCGGTATTTGTCAATTATTATAGAGCCTATGTACATAAAAGTAGTTTTTTTTTTTCATAATTCGTGGAATCTGACAAAAAATAAAAAGGTCACGATTAAATGACCCCTGCTTGCGCATGTTACTCTTAGTTCCATTGACTAATATTAAGCAAAGAAAGAAAGTGAAAGCAGATAGATGTGCGGGTTTGAAATGATTGTGTCGTAATATTTGTTCGAGTAGTAAGGTATATCAAGTATAATACACATATTCTCATGACAAATCACGTGCGATACAAGAGAATGCAATAATACAATTTGTCTTGTTTTTTAAAATCATTTCGTTAATTTTATACACGTAAGTGGACAAAATTCATATTATAATACTTGATAAGGATTATCTTTAAGTAATATCTTAGAAAATGAAATATCATATTATATTATTAAATTATTTCTAATGATCATTTGTTCAATGTAATGTTTTAAAATAGATGCACTGTATACTTGCAAATGACCCAGATAGGTTATACCATTATGATACCTGACCTAAATTTTTCTGCGTACCATTATAATAAGAAGTACTATGTCTGCTTCATTGTCTAATATGTTCACTCGATGAGTTTGCGATGGAATGGAATGGCTCTAGAGAAATGGAGGAACGCAGGTGCATAGCGGATACTGGGAAAACTTTAAGAAAGTATGGAAGTACAGCTAAACACATGACCAGAGCAGAGAGTTTAATAAAACATATTGTTTTATCTACGGATACACTTCAAGGAATTGCACTTAAGTATGGTGTTACAGTATGTATTTCAAAATTTGTTTCATTAATATTATCATGAATATGAATTAGTTTAATTATTGAATATTTCTATTATAGACTGAGCAAATAAGAAGAGTTAATCGGCTATGGGCATCAGATAGTTTATTTTTACGAGAATACCTCCTTATACCTGTTAGTGCAGAGAGCCCATTAGCTTCATCTGTTGAATCTGCTTCATACAGTGATTCAGAATGTAACACTTCTCAAAATGTAAGTAAATTATACAATTATGATTTAACATTGGTATATATCTATCCATTTAAAATATTTAATTTCATTGCTACGCTGTAACTTATATATAATTCAATGAAAATTATATTAATTAATACAGGTATCTAGTCCATCTGTAACATCACCATTAGACGATGAAAGTACAGCTGACGACTTTTTAGCTAAAATGGATTCTAGTATAGCTAATGTTAAAAAAGAAATTAAACGTACTCAAGGAAGTAGTGAGTAAGTTAATATGATGATCATTGAAATACTATATGCATCATTATCCTTAAATGTATGTAGATATATTTAAATATTTCTTACATTTTAGATTCTGTAATGAAGGTAATGATACTTATGTACAACAACGAAAATCATCCAATAAGTTTAGGGATTCGCTTTCTTCGAATACCCATATATCAGCCCATTCATCAGAACTAAGGCTATCATCCTCTAGTGACTCGCAAAATTTTCCCACTGCTGTAGTAATGACCCAGGGAAGAAAAGTTAAAACGTCGTTACAAAGACTTCAACAGCAACAGGATGAAATGTTCCAATTGTAGCATCTAAGTCTTATTAATGTGTAATATTTTACAATTCAGCAGATGTTATTAAAGACCTTGCTGAAAAGAGCACTTAGGTATCAATGTGTACAAAACATTTCTTTACTTGGCATAAGTTATTATATATATAAAATAATATCTTCGTTGCGAAGTCATACATAATATCTTACACTTAATATCCATCTCGTTGTACGATAGAGATTGTGGATATTAATTGTATATGAAATAATATTAGATAATTTTTGTTTTATATTCAGTTATAAAAAGTATATTTAAAAAAAGACTACGAGTCAATCAGCTTTGTCCGACCAAATACTTTGAATTTTTAGTATTTACCATATGTGCCTTTGATATATATTTGTACACATTATAGAATAATTCTGTTGTTATTCTCTTAAAGTATGTAAATAAATACTACATCTTGTTATATACATTGTAATGTGTACCAACAGTAAAGAATTGCAATTGACATTGCATAAATAAGATATTAAATATATCATTAAAAGGCACGATGTAATATACATCACATTTACAGCAAAATAAAGACAATATATAGTTTCAATAGGAGCTATTGAATGGTAAATTACAATGATTTTTCAAGATATAGTAAAATAATATTATCTATTGTTAAATTATTATTTGTGCTATAATAATATCAGTCTTCCTACTTATAATTATTACAATTTTTCGATATTATTAGCACTGATCTCTATAGTTATTTATAATATTGTTTAAATATTGAAAATTAAGCTATTTGTTGCATTATATACATACACGTGAATTTTATTTCATAATGTTAAAAAAAAATCTTGCTACAAAAAAAAGAAAATATTAAAAAAATAATAAAAAAAAAAATACTGCCAAAAAGAAAATACAAATGTATTGGTAGTATTTAATATTCTTCTGTTAAATTTGTTATAATTCTATTATTCTATGTAAAGTTAGGGTTGCATTTTATAAATGTATAGAAAATGAACGTAAAAAGTTTTCATCGATTTAAATTTCTTTTCTTTACTATAATAAAAAGCACAAATTGTAATAATTCTTGTAAATTATGTATTAAAATTCATCCAAATTGTCGCATTTATTGATTTATAGTTTATGTACAAGTAGCTTGTTTCTATTTTCATTCATTTTCAATGAGAAATATTTTGTGGAATATTCTATAATATAAAAATTTAGAAATATTACTTATTGTTTTTGAAATTAAAACATTTTTCATAAATATATATTAGGTATGATTGAAAATTTTCTACTGTACGATATAAAAAAAGTACATATTAATATTTTATTTTAATTAAATTGTTATAAAATTGTTATGTGATGTGAATCATAAATCGTAAAATTGTTATTTATCTAAAAATAATTATATTTAACGAAAGAAAGACAGGATAATATAATACAAGATTATTAAATTCCTTTATGCTTGTTAGATGACATGCTTTAAGAGACAACAGAATAATTATATTTTTTGTTATTATTTCTTATTAAATACGTACAGTCGACAGACTTGTATAATATACTTATTAATTTATTAATAATTATAAAGAAAAATTGAATTTTTCGGTGACTTTTGATGAAAGAAAAACAAAAGATTTAAAAAAGCATCTATGATTCTTCAGTGTTCTCTAAGTACGTTATTTCTTTTATTTATATAAGTTAATTTTAAGATTAAAATATTAAATTAATATGTCTTTATTACTTTTTCTTTTACGGGTTGGAGGGGTCTGTTTTCTTTACAAGATATGAAATTAATATTTGTGACACTTAAATGCATAGAAATATTTTAGTTATATCCTTAATGGCAATTTATAATTTTAAGGACTGCGAAAATATCATATCTATTTATTCATTATGTACGATGTAGTTGATAAGTATTCTGTATATATATAAATATATGTACATGTAATTATAAAATATCTATGCTTGCAAGTGCAAGTATATAATTTTTCTGTTATAAAGAACTTCAGAATGCTATGATAGCAGAATACTGATATTATTACAATCTTCCTATCTTACAATTAGTTAGCTTTGGAATTGTAATGCATCACCTCATTTGATGTAACGATTAAATATTAATTATAATAACAAAAATTAGAATAGTTGAAAAAAAGAAAAGAAAATCCTATTCTACTGCATAATAAGATAAGATAAAATGCTACATCGAAAAGATTATTATTTAAAATGCATGACGATAATAACATGCCGCTTTATAAATATTGTAAGGAATTATAAATAACAACAATAGTTCAAAGAATACCATGATGTTAATAAATCCTTTTTCTATTTTTACATGCATTTTGCTCGCTATTGATTACTGAAAAAAAAAAAAACAAAAAATATTAAAACTTTAATATGATATTTCTACATCAAACATTAAGATTTAATCTTTACATCATATACATTTGTTAGCATTCTTTTTTATGTTAGCAACATATGATCTTTAATTACTTACTTAGGTATCTTTAAATTCATGTTGTTATACATCTTTGTAAGCACTGTTAACTTGTTATCATTATCATTTATTACATCTAATTTGCTACGAATTAATCTAATAGGGGGCATTATGCATGTACCACAATTACATTTAGTATCAATTACCAAATTAAATGATCCTAATCGAGTATTGCAAAATGGGCAATTTAATCTTCCTTTCGTCCAGGATGTCTACAAAGATATTATTATATTTATTTATATTTATCCTATGAATAAATAATATATGTGTACACACACACATATATTGATTAATTATTGTTTTGTATGAAAATATTATGCATATAAGAAAAATTGATTTTACTTGATCTATTATTTTCTGTATCCATGTCGGTAAATTTTCCATAGACATGTATAAACAATGTTCAATAAAATCACCACCACATTCTGTATGTTCAATATTACTTATATCTTCGTTATGGGATGAAAGTAATGTAAAACTTTCATTTTGAAACAGATTTTTACGACAATGTTTACACTTAATTTCGATCATTTGGAAAAATCCTTAACCAAAATAATATTTCATATGTTTATAAATCTATTCCCAATATTTTAGGTTATGAAAGCACGATCAAATTGATCTATTATGGTTCTTTTACATTTTCATTTTAAAGGTTATGTTACCAGTCCGATAAACATGATTTTTTGTAGATATAAATACTATTATAAGAATGTATCAATTTTCGAATCTTAATAGATATTTATATAAATATATATGATCTATGTATTTTATATTTTTTATTGTACATAGTTTACAAAAGCGACATAAGGTTTATTTTAAACAAAAATGAGCACTAAGATCTTTGAATTGAAAATATTGGTTCCTAAATTTTATATCTATAATTCATAAATTAATGTATTTAAATTTGTTATTTATACATACACATAAATATGTATATTTGTATTAAATCATCAATACTATTATGACAGTAATATTCAATAAAAGAATATTTTGATATAAAGTTTATTTATAATAATAATAATATCATAATAACATTAATAAGAATTTAGTCTTCACCGGCAGGTATTGCATCCTCTAATCTTTTAATAAATTTAACACGTAATTCAGTAATGGTATCATTTTTCAATTGATCTTGAACAAACCAACATGCAACTTCCATTTGCACCATTTCGCAAGCACCTCTTAATATACCTGTTAATATATTACAATATTTCAGATTTAAACAATGATCTGGTAACTCTACAAACTCGGTTAATGGATTCGCTTCAAAGTACAAAGAAAATTCATCTCCAGCAGCACTCCAGTTTGTAATAGTTGGTGTTATTCCAAGATATATTTTAAATCCAGTTTGAATTTTTTCAGACGTATCTCTAAAATCATAGCACCGCCCAGATCCAGTACGTGCTAGGAAATCTTCTATCAAACGAATTCCCATATTATATCCCATTCTATCTAATTGTTTATTAACTTCTTCTACATTCTCATAATCTTTGAGTAATTGTGCAACGAGAGCTCCATAAGTTAATGTGAATAATTCAGAGTTCTGTGAAATATAAAAATAAAGAAAGTTTCCTCGCTGCCTCTCTCATAGTTGTAAAGAAAGATAAAAGTAACATATGAAAAATAAAAAATTTTCTCTAATTCCTTTTTAATCTTCATTAAATTTATCAAAATTAATAGATTTAAGTCGAATAAAGGCATTCATTTGTAAAATTTCATGTACATATTTTGTTAAGAAATAAAAAAAAATATTTAATGTCCAATAACAAATGCTTACAACTTTTTTTGCTTCCAGTTTTGTTCCTGTACGTGACATCGTGTTGTATATAAGTAACACTTTACAACTGTTTAAACACACTTCAATTAATAAACTATTTAATTTTAAATAACTAACCTAAAAAATTTACATCAAAACTTTTTACAATACGATTAAAATATATTATGGTTTTTGAAAGATGACATATTATTATATATTAATAAACAAAAAATTATGAAATTTTTCAAGCAGAATATACTTGCAGTTATAAATGACGTATAGTTTCCTTTTAGTGTGTAAGAGTTTTTCTTGAAAGTTTAGTTATGACGATGGTCGCTAGATGGAAATGTTTACTACTATTCGCTCGAAGTTCGATTTCAAGGACACGTATGCACATTGAATGCACATTGAATGCACATTGAATGTCCGGTACCAAACCGGTGGAAGGATGAAAGAAATGGATCACTCAAAATATTGAGATGTTCGAAAAGTCATTTCGTTTTTTCAATGGAAAAATGAAAGATGATTTTTTCATATTTAAAATAAATTTTATTTAATAAAATATTGACTATTTGTTCTATTAATTTTTCCCATCCTTCTGCTTATTAGCAAAAAGTTGAAGCAAATAATATATTTGATAAAGTACACTTGAATTAAGTTCTAATGCACATTAAAAATTAAAAAATTAAAAATAGCATACACCTGAACTAAATTTTTGAGAGGAATTTGACAGAAGGATAATAGGGCAATAGACGAGAATGACAATTAGATATCGGATAATGTTGCAAAACGTACTAATAAAACTTCAAGATGCAATAATTTTTGACTGAATAAACTAATACCATAATTTATTTTGTTAATTAATTTATAATATGTCACCTTTTTTGTACGTACGCAAGTAATTATAGATTCGATATAATATTACTAAAGTTTTTGATTCTAAAGTTATCTAACAGTAAATATTACGAAGAAACCTTACCCCCAATCAAATATTTAACATGTTTGTTGTCGATCACGCATTAGTGTTTGATATGGTAAATATGATCAGCTAATAGCCAATCATATGCCTATATGTGGTAGGATTTATGTTAATAATAGATATCCGCGTTAGTCTATCTAACGTTATCTCTTAAATGTATGTGTTACAATTATATAGGGGTGCTAATAAAACCAATAAGTTTGATTTTGGATTTGTGTTTTTTTATTTTTCTATTTAAATTTTTTGTAAAATTCCTTTTTAATATGAGTTGGGATAAATCAAAGTTTTTAAATCCTGAAACATCGAATTCGAGATGGTTAACAGACAGACAACTTGTACAATTTTTATACCCTGGACCGGAAAACCTTGAAGGTAAGGGTTTTATTCTAATAATTTTTAAAAATACGCTCTTCACAGTGATAATTTCGAATATTTTAATATTTAAATAGATGAAGACGATACTGTAGAACCTTGGTGGCTTCAGAGAGAAAAATCTATTGAGCAAGAAGATGTTAATATGGAACAAGAAAATATAATTTGCGAGAATTATCCTGAATGTTTTGATTTAGAAATAGATGAAAACGATACTTTAGAATTTTCGTGGCTTCAGGGAGACGAATCTGTTACGCAAGAAGATGTTAATATGGAACAAGAAAATACAATTTACGAGAATTATCCTGAATGTTTTGATTTAGAAATATATGAAAACGATACTTTAGAATTTTCGTGGCTTCAGGGAGACGAATCTATTACGCAAGAAGATGTTAGTATTGAACAAGAAAGCATAGATTACAATGATGATCTTGAATATTCTGATATTGAAATAGATGAAAAAAATATTAGAGAACTTGAAACGCTTCGGGAAAAAGAATATACTTTTAACGTTGATAACAATTCCGATATTGAAATAGATGAAAATAATATCGCAGAACTTTCGAAGAGGAAATTTCAGGAAAGAAGATTCGTTGTCCCAGAAGAAGTTGTTTGGGAAAATGATTTAACATCTATGAAGTCATTTCCTTTTCAAAATTACGATAGAATAGACGATATTGTTCAAGAAAGTGATCCCATTCGCTTATTTCAATTAGTATTGGATGACGATTTAATCGATTGTATTATTTCTAACACAAATGCTTATGCTGCTGACACGCTACGGTGTCCAGAAATAAGGCAATATTACAGATTAACTTCATGGACAGAAGTTACGAGAAGCGAAATTTTTGTCTTGTTTGGAATACTTTTGCATATGGGAACTATAAAATTAGACCGTGTTAGTGATTATTGGAAAAAAGAACAATTATTCCGCTTACGTGTTTTTACAAATAACATGAGTTTCAAACGTTTTACATTATTATTACGAATGTTGCATTTTGGAGAACAACAATCCAACGAGGAGGGAGATCAATTACGTAAAATAAGGAATATTATTGATTACTTCAATGATAAAATGTCTAAAATATATTATCCAGAACGTGAAATTATTTTGGATGAATCTTTAGTATTTTGGCGGGGAAAATTTATACCTCGCCAATATATACCAAATAAATACGAGAAATATGGTGTAAGAATAATCACGGTCCAAACAGTTACTGGATTTGTTTTAAGATGTTCGATGTTTACGGATATATTAGATGATTATGATGAAAATGAGAATTGTGAGAAAGTAATGAAGTCTCTAGACAAGTTTTTAAATATCGGCCATAGCGTGTATTCGAATAATGATTACAATAGTTATGAACTTGCGAAACAACTCATTAAAAGACGTACATACATTACTGGAAATATACGAAAAAATAGGAAAACTTTGCCGAAAAAGGTTGTGAAAGCAAAATTAATGAAAGGAGAAAGTATTTGCAAATATGCCGACGATGTAATGATTGGTAAATGGAAAGACACGAAAGATTTTACCTACATCTCTACGGAATATAAAAACGATATGGTCTTAATTAAAAACAAACGAAATGAAACGAAACTTGTGCCACTACCAGTAAAGCAACGCAATGAAAACCTAAGGAAAAGAATAAATAATCAAGAGCAATTGCTATTTTATTATCCATTAGAAAAGGATATCATTAGATGGCCTGTAAAACTGTTTATCCATTTATTGCAATTAATGGTAACAAATGTACATCTTATAATAAATCAACCTTTTTACGGTGATGTATCTTTAGACAGTTTACGTTCATATTTAATTAGTAATATGTTGATAATACCTACGAAAAATCTGCATACAATCATGCCATTATATACTACAGATGAAAGTACCCATGTTTTAACTGTATTACAGAAAAACAAAGTAATTCCTTTCAAGAAAAGGAAGCCTTGCAATAATTGCAATTCCAGAGGCATAATAAACTTCTCCTGTTTCGTATGCAATGTCTGTAATGGAAACCCGACTTTCTGTGAAGAATGTGTAAAAATAACTCATGCACTATAATTTTCACTTGTTTTTTAGGAAGTGTACACAAACAAATTTTAATCTATTCTATATTTTTTTATTTTTTATGTGATATATATAGTTATATTACGTACGATTAATTATATTACCAATAATTAATCAATGAAAATTATCGGAAGTATTAAGTAAATATTTCAGAAAACAATTACGTTGTTTTATTCGCGTTATAATGTTTAAACGAATGTACTATTATTCAAATGTTAGTTTAATATTCTATCAAAAAACATGGAATATCGTTTAAATATATATTAATTAATCGAAACTACTAATTATTAAAGTATACTTATACGAAAATAGAGAGTTTTGAAAGCAATAGTAAGCAATATTAATTATTGAAAGTATAAATAATCAAGCTACCGGTCTTGTTGATGTTACTTTCATCTTCGAATTTAATGGCAACAGTTATTAATAAAATCATCGATTTTAAATAAGCCGTAAATATCTGTTTATTAACGTATTATTATTTAAAATATTCGTTTACAAACGTATTATTATTTAAAATATTCGTTTACAAACGTATTATTATTTAAATACTATAATTTAATACTCGACAAAGAAACGGCAAATATTATTAATATGAATAGTAATTATTCAATAGTATTCATTATTTAATCGTACCTCGAAATTTATATGAATCCAGATTTCTTTTTTATTTGCAATTTAATGTTTAAACAATGACATTATTTTTTAAATTGGTGAGAGGGAGTTGCCGATCATGCGCTAGGTGTTTACCTGGTATAATTAGCTAATAACCAATCACATTCCTACATGTGTATTTATGTTAATAATAGATCTTCGCGTTATTCTGTATTATTTCTTAATTGTCTGTATATGTATGTGTGTGTGTGTTATAATTATAAAGGCGTAATTAATAAGTTTGTACTTATTATAGGCGTAACAATAAGTTTTACTTTTGGATGTGTAATTTTTCATTTTTTTTTAAATTTAAATTCTTTGTAAAAAATTCCCTCTTAATATGGGAAATGACGATAAGAATATATCACAAATTTACCGTAAAAAAAAAAAATTGGAGAGGAAAAATTCAGACGAACAACTCTTAGAATATTTAAATTTTATTTTTCCGGACGAATATATGGGTGAGTTCTGTTTTGATGATTTTTAATAAAAATACGGATTTCATAGTAATGATTTCGAATATTTTAATATAGACGCAGCCGAAGAAATTTTATTAAAATATCTTGAGACAGAAACTACTGATTTTGAAAAACTTTACACAGTAAATAGTGACGATTCTGAATATTCCGATATTGTATTAAACGAAGAAAATACTCTAGAATTTCTGACGTTTCAGGAACCAGAACCCGTTGATCTAAAAAATATTATTTCTAATCTAGATGTTAATAATTATACATTGACTGATCATTTTGAGCACGATGATATTGGAATGGTCAATGACTATATAAGAAATTTGACACTTCAAAAACGAAAACTCTTTGTTACAGAAAATATTCATTGGAAAAATGAGTCGATATCAATGAAGTTATTTCCTTTTAAAAGATTACAACGCTTGACTCCAGTTGTTACAGGAAACCTTCCTTTAAATTATTTTCTACATATATTGACGGACGATATTATCAACGAAATAATTATTCATACTAATAATTATGGAGTTAAAATGATGAAACGTTCAGAAATAATCGAGCGTTATCATACCAATTCATGGAAAGCCGTTACAAAAGAAGAAATACTTGTATTTTTTGGATTGATTTTCTATATGGGACTTATAAAATTGGATCGTACGAGTAATTATTGGAATGAGAGTACATTTTTCTTCGGTTTAAATATGTTCGCAATGAAAATGGACAAAAATCGTTTTTTATTATTGGTACGAGCGTTACATTTTGCAGAATATCAAGACGAATATGAAATACCTCCAGCTGATCAATTATACAAAATAAGGAATATTTTGAATCTCTTTAATAGAAGAATGTCTGAAATATATCATCCAGGACGTGAAATTATCTTTGATGAATCTTTTATATTGTTCAAAGGAAAATTAATACTCCGCCAGTATGTAACAGATAAAAGGCATAAAAGTGTTGGAAAAGTGTATACTATCGCAACACCAACTGGCATTGTTTTAAAATGTTTGATGCATATGAATATATTAGATGATTATGATGAAAATAAGAATTGTAAGAAAGTAATGGACTTTTTAGATGGGTATTTAAATGTTGGCCATAGCGTGTACATGGACAATTATTACAATAGTTTTGAACTCGTAAAACTCCTCGCGAAAAATAAAACCCATTGTACCGGGTTCTTAAGAAAAAATAGAAAAACTTTGCCGGAAGAGGTTGTGAAAGCAGTATTAATGAAAGGAGAAACTATTTGCAGATATGCCAATGGTGTAATGATTGGTAAGTGGAAAGACACGAGAGATTTTATCTACATCTCTAACGAGTATAAAAATGATATGACTTTAATCAAAGGTAAACGAAAAGAAATGAAATTTATACCACTACCAATTAAGCAATACAATATGTACACAGGAGGAATAGATAAGCAAGAACAATTGCTATCTTATTATCCATTAGAAAAAAAAAACATTAAATGGCCTGTTAAATTGTTTATCCATTTATTGCAAATAATAATAGAAAATGCACGTCATCTATACAATATGTTTTCGCTACGTGATATGTCTCTATACGATTTTCGTTTATCAATAATTAGTAGTTTATTGAATACATCAAGTTATTGTCCTGAACTTGTGTCTAATAAGTCAAAAGTAAGTGTCGAACATGTCCTAATAAAAAGTACACCATTAAAACGTCAAAAGCAGAAGAGACTATGCCAAAAATGTTACAAACGCCAAAAACCCATTTACATATGCACCGTCTGCGAAGGATCACCGACTTATTGTATCGATTGTTTAAAAATAATACATGAAATGTAATATATATATATATATTTATATATCTTTTTTAAATTTATTTTTAAGGAGTGTACGCACAAAGTTTAAATTATTCTACATATTTTTTTTCTTATGCAGACATGTTCCAAATCTACCAGTAACACTTAATGGGGCAATTGAGAATTCACTTTCTCGTCAAGGGCTATTAGAGGATAATCAGGAAAAATAAAAATTATTGCAAAGTGATGATATAATATTGAATAATTATAATATATGTAAAAGTGAAAAAGATTGACGACAAGTTTGCAAAGAAAATAATAATTGATATAACAAATAATATATAGTAATTAGTATATAAATTTTTGATAAAATGTAACAAGACTTTGTCAATGATTTGATAATTATTTTCTGTAAAATAAAATGAACAAAAATAAACCATCCCAAGAGTTTAATCTACAGTCAGTAACACGTATTGATGTTTACACGTAAAAGTCTAACAGAAAACTGACTAAAAAACAATGTAAGTAATCGGAGAATTTTATGTTTATATATTACATAAACATAAAATAAAAATATATCAAAATTAATTAATATTCAAAGTACATTACTAAGTACGTAATGTTTAAACATACATATATGCGTTGAAACAATCTTAAATATAAGTAAAATGTATTAAAATATAAAAATAATTGTTAATTAATCGCGAAGGAATGTGTATAGTTGTTTAAAGACAAGGAATATGTGATCGGAGCACCGCTTCCTCAAAATCAATTGTTAGACTGGCACATTGTCCTCTATATAAAACAATTAAATTTCTTTTGTTGATTGTTGTTTATATGACTTCCCAAAAGACGCGCATGTGTATAACGAAAATTATATTCCTAATATAAATAGAATTTACTATCTAATATACACGTATAGATCCAGGAGGATCTTTTAGACAAAAAAAAGATATTTTCAATGATTAAACATATTGTTAACAAAGATATTCAAAATCATTGTTACATTTCAACTAATATTTGATGCTATATTTTTTATAGGATTTTAAATAATAACAATTAGTTTTTAGTGTATAAACGTGTGTGCCTTCAGAAATGCATTTATATATTACATTAGGAGCTCTAGTAGAATAAAATCAAAACAAGTAGATGATAAATCCAAAGATGATCACCTGTAACAAAAAGAAAACTATATTAATCAACAATCAAGTGATACAATAGCCTGACATATAAATCGTCCAATTCGTAGATGCACTTTTCAATTGAATTCTCTATTTATTTTGATCAACTCTCTATTAACTGTTGCAATATAATTAAATTTAAACGCGTGATTTTACATTTACATTACATATTTAAAAAAAAAAAAAAGGAAAAGTACAAGTATTGATTTACTAACAAAAATAATATCTATTAATAATTACGAACTACTTTTAAATTGCATTATATGGAAAAGAAAAATTACAAATTTAATAAAATACAATCACAATGAAAAATCTTAAAGACGAAACAAGAAAAGAGAAATTACTTTAATATTCACCGAGAACGTTATTTAAGCTTAAAAATTAGATAATACAAAAATTTTAATATTTTTGACTCTAACTAGAACATATGCATCTTTTTGACGATTTTGAGGAAAACAAATTTGGTGTCCCAAGGAGATGGAATGGTCCATCATCTCCAATTAAAACTACAAATTAATGACGAGCAAAAATGTAATACAATAAAATATAAAATACGACTAGAAAGCTATTTTCGAAGAGTTCGAACTTGCTGTTGAACCTTTGAAAATAACTCAATAGTCTGYGTAGTTGCCCACTTGATACCACAAATTTGTGGGGGCCTCTTCGGCATAATGCCTCTTCTTTCTTCATGCCCTAAACTCTGCTGCGAGGCTTTTTCTAAGCGCATTTTACAATACA